CGTGACAGGGGGTGGCGCCGCAACCTCCCCATCGACCCTGCCTTGAGTGTGACAGGGGGCGGGGCCCCAACCCCCCAATCGGCCCTACCTTGAGCGTGACTGAGGGTGGCATCGCAACCTCCCAATCCGCCCTGCTCTGTGCATGACAGGGGGCGGCGCCCCAACTCCCCAATCAGCCCTGCTCTGAGCCTGACCAGGGGCTGCACCTAGGGATTGGGCCTGCCCTCTGCCACCCGGGAGCAGGCCTAAGCCAGCAGGTCGTTATCTCCCAAGGAGTCCCAGACTGCGAGAGGGCACAGGCCGGGCTGAGGGACCCCCACCCTTCCCCCCCGAGTGCACAAATTTTTGTGCACCGGGCCTCTAGTCTACACTAATAAAAGAGAAACATGCAAATTGGTGTCACTCTGCTATACCTACCAGCCAATCAGGGCAATATGCAAATTAACCCAACAAAGATGGCGGTGGCCATGGAGCTGGAGGCTTGGGTTGCCCCTGGTGATGGAGGAAGCCAAGCTTCCAGCCTGCCCTGGCCGCCGCTCAAGGGAGAGAACAACACACAGGCACAGCCAGGAGCCTGAGAGATCAACACAGAGGGGCGCCTGCTCCAAGCCTCCGCGGTGTGGCTGGGGGCAGGCCCCCAGTGGACACACACACACACACATACAGGATGCCTGCTCCAAGCCTCCGACGCGGCTGGAGGCAGGCCTCCAGCGGGGACACACACACATACACACACACACACACACACACACGGGGCAACTGCTCCGAGCCTACGTGGTGTGGCTGGGGGCAGGCCCCAGCAGAGACACACACACACACACACATACACACACACACACACACACACACACACACACACACACATGGCGCCTGCTCCGAGCCTCTGCTGCCGTCAGTAGGACATCCACTGAGGGCTCCCGGACTGAGAGGGGGCAGGCTGGGCTGAGGGACCCCCACCCCCCAGTGCACAAATTTTGTGCACCGGGCCTCTAGTAGCTTATATAATTGGTGATAGGTAAATATCTGTTGGGCACTTTTCATATATTTGCAAACAAGAAAGTAGCCTTTATACAAGTCTATCTTTATTTGTAAAAAATAATATACAACTAAAGCCAATTTGATTTTAAAATCAAAGTTCAGTTAATGATAATGTACATTTTATAATAAAATTGTAGTAAAATACTGACATTTGATAGTTTAAACAAAGTGTCATTCATGTACAAATCATGTTATATGTAAAATTTAATTAGAAAATTCATAGTTCACAGAAGTACATACATTTTGTTGACAGCACATAAGAACATTAGCATAAATTTACTTAAAGATACAGAACAAAATTCACAGTTAGGCTTGACACTTAGTACTAGGAAATTTTATGCTGAATCCACTGATACTTTTGTTAACGATGATACACTTGAAATAACTGATTCAGACAACCAATGAATCCACATTTTATTGTATAACCAAGATCTATTGGTTTTACAATACATCTAGTAATCAATTATTTTACGAATAATTTAAGTGAGATCTAGCTGAAGACACCACTGACATGTATCTTTAGCAGGATAATTAAAATAAGAAGCATTAGAAGCTTTGACTTCCATTTTCATGAAGACATACAAGTCTATATTTTAGTTAAAATTTGTACAAAAAGTCAAGCCCTGAAGTATTTCCCCCCCGCCAAGAAAAGTTCTGATGTTAAAACTTTGTTTAAAAAAAAGAGAGAGAGAGAGAGAGAGAGAGAGAGAGAGAGGTAGTGTGTGAAAGTATTTTTACTTAGAATGTTGAACCCCTGCACCGCTTATAAATGAAATTTAACCTTATACATATTATCATTGTTTTGTCATTCAAGAGTCAAATGTATAAAACTCACAGAATGTTAAAGTTGGAATGCCATTATAAAACAGTGGTATGTAAGTGGAAGAACGTCAGTGAATTCAACAAACAGTACATTGTATTACATAATATTGTGCAATTAATAGTTTAGTGACAATATGTTTAGTGGTAATGTGAACAAAATACATTTAAGTATTCTGAGTCAAGTGATCTTCATTTAATCAAGACTTTACTTCTTCATATATTTTGACCATATAGAGAAAATATCCTTCAAAACGGAGTCATCTGATTCTTCATTGTTTTAATAGCACACAATTGTTATAGGTATCCATACTAGCCCTACCATAAAATTAATTAATAAATAACTCTGACAGTAATATCCATAAGCCACAGAGAACTTATGTACTTCATACTATTCTTTGTTTCTATATACAAGCATTCTGTAGTGTTTGTGCACATCGTATAGTGAAATCAGGCAAGGAATGGAAGTTAGCAGCCTTACACTTGTTCTAAGTGGATGCATTGGAAAGTAATAAATAGCCTTATAAAATTAATAGTGATAAACTCTACCTGTCAAAGGTGAATACTATATAATTTTCATAAAGTGTAGGCAGTGTTCCTAGAAATCCCATGAAGGAAAACCCAAATTGTTTATATAAAAAGTGCACAAATTTGTCCTGTGTGTAAAAAAATCTCTGAATTTGGGTGCATTTTTTAAAATCCAAAATGATTTGCACTTCTTGAATACATTAAAAGAGTATAAAAGCACACCAACAACACACACACAACAAAAGGATAATTTCCAATGAGATTGGGAATGAGGGTGAGAAGAGGTGAAGAGGTGGAGGATAAGGGAGAGTCTCCCAATGCCCAGAGTAAGTGGCATCGCCATTTCCAGGGTAAGTTACGCCCACATGGAATGCCTCTGTGAGAATGAAAGCTACAGGAAGGACAGGCAGGCACCTGAACAACTGGTAGAGATTCTTAATTCAGGAACATAGTTTTGATGCCTTATAACATAGGAAGCAACTCCTAAAAATAGTCAATCAGTTTGATTTCTTAGATAATAGGAAAAAAAGCACTTGAAAAGACTACTTGTTATAATTCACAACAGAGAAACATTAAAATGTCAAAATAAAATACAGAGAACACAGGAGCTGAGGTCCCCAAGGTACCAAAAGTTAGAATGATATTTCTTCACATTAGAACTTTTAAAAATATAAAGGAAAAATGAACTGGGCTCTGCACAGCAGGTTAAATATGCAACCACTTCAAACGGAAATTATCTAGTCCTCTCACACAGTCTAGAATGTGCTCTAACATCCAGTTATCTGTAGACAAAACAGCAAAAGCACATAATTGCATTAGCAAAGGCCCCTTTGTTTTAGATTTAAATTCACCTCTGACCCACCAAAGTTTATATTAGCAATGATCAAACTACTATTTTAATAACATTTGGAGCTTGCAATATTATTTTTTCTCATGCCCATTCCAGGTCACTGGTTCAGAGGTATATATGCTTTAAACTAGCGGAATGTACAGGTTCCCATGGCATCTTCACTCAGAAAACAGTCAGATAGTGGTTTCATAGTGTTATGATTGTTCCATCTTCTTCTAAGAGTTTTTGATTTGGAACACGCGTTTCAAATTCAGTGTCTGTGCCACTTGCTGCCGTTGTTAAGCTCACTTCATTAGAAGGAATAAAACCATTCTGTCCAGACTCCAAATTGAGTTCCATTTGTGTTAATGATTCTAAGCTTTCCGTGTTAGGAACAGCTTTGGGAATCTGCTGTGGCACTCCATTATCTTCAATAACAATGTCATCTTCATCACTGTCTTCATCCTCTGGCTCAAAGCTGGGTTCCATCTGCTGTGGATAGCCGAGAAGGCTGTTATCAGTAGACTGGCCGGAGCTCCCAGAGGTCCGACTGTTCCTAACGACATTGTTCCTCTGGTTTGCTGGTCTCACTGTTATGATGAGGTTACGGCTGTTTGCAATCATCATATCTGTTACTTGATCCAGACTCTTCCCTGAAACTTCTATGCCGTTAACTTCTAAAACTTCATCATTAACGGCTAACAGTCCTGTGCTTTGAGCCAGACCTCCCGGGACAAGTCTGGATATAAAGATCCCTGGGACCTTCTCTAAGCCATGTGGCGTGACCCTGACACTGGAGCCATCCCGGATGTAGAATCCTAAGGGTTTCTCAGTGCCGTACTTGTACAGACGGACCCTACGATGTGTTTCTGGGAGAATATCCACGTCTATAATGGAAGACACAGGTCTGAAGTCTTGGGGCATACTAATGACTATATGAGGCTTTTTCCTGTGGTTGTCAGGACGCAATACATTGGTTAAAACATTCTTCTTCTTTATTAGTGTGTCTGTACCAAAGGCACTGTAGTCTGCTTCTTCTGTTTAAAAATAAAATAAAATAATTAAAGAAATGCTGTGAAAACACCCACTTATCTGCAGTTGAGTCTGCACAGAAAGGATAACTAAAATGTATTTCGTACATAACACACTAGTTAAACATTAACTTATTCTAATGGGATCAAAATGTAGTGCAGAAGATGTTATATCAGAAAAAAAACACTAGGTGGCCCTCTCAAGTACACATAAAATTACCAATGTTCACGGTAAATCTAACAAAGCTCGATAACTATGAAACAACATGAACCATGGCCAAATGAAATTCTGTTAAGTCTTGCAAACACATTCTTTTTTAAATATATTTTTATTGACTTCAGAGAGGAAGGGAGTGGGAGAGAGATAGAAACATCAATGATGAGAGAATCATTGATCAGCTGCCTCCACCCCACACAGGGGATTGAGCCCAGAACCCGGGCATGTGCCCTGACTAGGAATCGAACCATGACCTCCTGGTTCAGAGGTCAACACTCAACCACTTAGCCACGTCAGCCAGGTGCAAACACATTCTTAAACAAGTTACTTAAAATGCATTTTGCCCCGTTTAATGGCACAGCTGCTCTTCATTCCACAGTTTTTCTTCATTCCTGTAGGAATTTGCCAGAGTCATGGTTTTTAGGTAAAAATCTTCCCATTTTTAAATGCTGATACCCAGTGAAACAACAACAAAAACCTATTTGAGTTAAATAACACCCAGGGTTGAATTCATTCTTCAAGCCAACAATTTATAATCTCTGATGTACACTAAGGGACAACAGGGCACCTAAAACCAGATATTCTTAGATCACATGGATGAAGGAAGACCTGCCATAAACAAAGCATCTCATCAGAGAATGAGAGGTAGAAAAGGAAATGAAATTAATAGCAGGCACACGAGTTGAAATACCATTTCAACTAAAATAAAGGCAAAAGGGCCCCCCAAAAGAACTAGTTCAAAATCCTAGTGTTGGCTACTGCTACAGAGAATAGTAACATCACCGTTTATCCAAGGCTTCAATTCGTATTCTCTCCTGTGACCCTCTGCCACCGCCCCCCCCCCCATTGATAACTATGTATTATCATCTTTACTTTATAGACCAGGAAATGACCGGGACATAATAAGTTACAGAGAAAAGACTAGACCCAGGAGTTCTTTCTAGGCCAATACCTGACACATTCATACGATGAATGTTAAATATCAACTGTGTGTCAGAGTATAGAGAACTTCGGTATTTTTTTTTCATGCTACTTGAACATCTTCAAAAGCTAGTTTCAGAGAAATGTACAAGACTAGGGGCACTTAATTATTTTGGCATTTCCTCCCCTCCACCCAGGATAATTTTGTCTTCATTTATAGATAAAATATTTAGACTGGGTTCTAACAGAGACAGAAATTTATTTATAATTTGGCTGTGGAAATAAATCCATTGACACAAACATCTTTTTGGCAAAAAATCTAACGATCATCTTCTAAATGTGTTTTTTTCAAAATTATATATTTTCATTTTAAAACAATCAATTAAGAAAGCCTACCTAATATAAGGAAAGTTCCAGTCCATACAAACTGCAAACAAAATTAAGTTGCCTACATACCTATTCATGGGAAACCTGACCCTAAACCCCTCAAATCTGCATAATTTGGCATCGCATCCTGACCCTGTTTGAATGCTCTCTGCTAAATTCTCAGAAGCAATATGCCCCTGTACAAAGGCACCTTTGTTCTCCCATCTAGCTAATCAGTTTCCAGCCACTGGGAAAAAATATTTTGGCAAAAAGCCAGGGTGCAGGGTGTTAGTTTAAAGTGTAAAGGTGAATGTCCACAGGGAGTAGGAGTTCACTTTCTACCTGAGTATGTATATCAAAGCACTGAACTCAGACTGTGATGGGAAGTTTGGAAATTTGGTTTATAGCAACCTTCCACTTGTATAAAGCCAGGCTTATGCAACAGTACATGATACGGGCTTGTACAGCAGCACCACCCTTACCCCAAGCCTGCCCCTCAGCAGACAATCTCAGCTAACAGGAATGGACAACGAGCCACCTGCAAGGCCACTGAACTGCCAAGGATGTCTCACTTCTTTCCACAGAAAAAGCTCCTGTGCTTTACTTACCAAGGAGCCCTGCAGGCCCTTAGTTTGTAAACATTAATTCTGAAAAGCCTGGTTATCTCATTCCTTAGCTCACAGAGTCAAAAGTTACAGAGAGAGACATTAGGGTCCACTAGTGAGTGGCAGACAAAGATACAAGAAATAAAAGCCTACAGTGGATAAAAAGCAAATCTTGGGGTACGGGTGGGGGGGGGAAGCATCAGCATCCCTTTATAGTAACAAAATAGGAACAGTTCATGTTAGAGTCATTAAGAAAGTTCAAGCTTATGACCTGTTTCAAGTTCAGAAGGAAGACAGGGAAGAATGAAATGATTGCTAAAACTGTAATCAGGGGCTGTAAACCTATTTCTGTAAAGAGCTATACAGTAAATATTTCAGGTCCTGGAGGTCACACGGTTCCTATTGCAAAAGCAGCCATAGGCAGACCATAAAGGAATGAGCTTGGCTGTGTTCCAAGGAAAACTTTATTTACAAAACAGCCAGCAAGCCTTAGTTTGCCAACCCTTGTTCTAATCCAAAATGGTTAAATGAAACAGATCTGGCAACTTTACAAAGATTAAACATCACTTAAAGTGATATTCAAATTCTGCAGATCCCCTCACTTTCTAATAAGAAAAATCAATCACCAAATATTAAGAAGTATCTCGTATGTGGCTCAGCATTGTTTTCTGGGCCATAGATCCAGTGAACAAAACAGATAAGGTGCTTGCTTTCATGGTGCTTATAGTCTAAAGGAGGAGATGGCAATTAATTTCAAATAACTGAATTATTACAAAGGTGCCAAGAGCAGTGATGTACACTGTGCTGTACAAGTATGTAAATGAGAACCTAGCTTGGTGCAAAGGAAAGGAAAGGCTTCGTCAGGAAAGTAAGGATCACGCTGAGACTAGCTAATCAGTTAGAAGGGAGAGACATTCCAGGCATAGAATACAACGAATAAAGAGAGGAGCAGGATGGAGTAGGGGAAGGAGTCCAATGTACAGTCACGCACTGCTTCACAGGGATATGTTCTGAGAAATGCATCGTTAGGCAATTTCACCGTTGAGCGAACATCATAGAGTGACTTACATAAACCTAGACGGTATAGCCTCCTGCACACCTAGGCTAGCTACATGTTCTAGCTTAGTGCTCCAGAGCTACAAGCCTGTATAGCAGGTTACTGCACAAAACTACATGAGATTAAATCAAGCACAAGAGAAAATGATGCAATCAAGACACATCAGCCCTAGCTGGTTTGGCTCAGTGGACAGAGCATCGGCCTATGGACTGAAGGGTCCTGGGTTCGATTCTGGTCAAGGGCACATGCCCAGGTTGCAGGCTTGATCCCCAGTAGGGGGCTTGCAGGAGGCAGCTGATCAATGATTCTCTCTCATCATTGATGTTTCTATATCTCTCTTCCTCTCTGAAATAAATAAAAATATATTTGAGAGAGAGAAAGGGAGGGAGGGAGGGAGGGAGAGAGAGAGAGAGATGAGATAGCGATGCTGCTGGTGTTAACAGGGCCTACTGTTTTCAGAAAACTTTTTTTGTGAATAAGTAAAAAGAGTAAACTCTAAAATAACAATGAAAAGTATAGTACATATGTAAACCTGTAACAGTCCTTTATGACCATAATCAGGTATTAAGTGCTGTACATAATTGCATGGGCTGAACTTTTATAGGACTGGCAGTGCAGTAGGTCTGTTTACCAGCATCACCACAACTGCATGAGGAATGTGATGCACTCCCACCTTACTATAGCCACAACATCATCACTAAGCAATAGGAATTTTTCAGCTCCTGTATTCTAATGGAGTATTTGTTGACAGAAACCTCATTATATGGCCCATGACTGTAGTGAGGTTAAAGGGTGGCTGGGGGAGAGGGGGCAGGGAGGAGAAGGAAGAGTCCAGAGCCAAGTCAGAAGCAGCCAGGGGCCAGGCAGACCAATGGGAACTTCAGGGAAGTGTTAAAGATTATGGACTTTGGCCTAAGGGCAACAGGAAGAAAACCAAGGGTTTCGGTTTTTCTCTAAAGCTCTGGCTTCAAGCTGGAGAATGGACCTGAGAGGAGATAGGAGGCTGTGCAGTGGTTTAGGATGGCACCTGGCCTGAAGCAGAGGCAATGGAGATAGGGCAAAACACCTGAAAAATAATTAGAACACAGTTTTAACAGGATTGGTGACTAAGAAAAACAGGTATGTGTCAAAGGTGGCTCCCATGTTTCCATTATGAGAACTGGTGTCATATTCTGAGATGTTACTCCACAATTTCCTCTTTTTTTTTCCTCTCTCTTCTTTTTATTTTATTTAATGTTTAATTTCTGGGGCCATACCTTTTGTTAAACTGTTTTTTTTTTACAACTTACTATTACAATGTATATACGTTAGACATTTCTAAATTAAACCCTGATTCGTTAAAATATAATCTTAAGGTCCATTTGCAAAATAATGTCCACTGTACAGGTGTTGGGGCCACAAGGCCATGTCCTAAGTGAGAGGATGCTTACTAATAAAGCAAGGCCCTTCTAGAAATTCCAACAAACTCCTCTGAATAAATCCAAGATGCAGACATATTTGTTTAATGTCACACATAAACAGGTGGTGATATGTACAGCAAGAACTGCGGTGTGCACATTCTGATCAGATCTGGCGAGGACTCTGTGCATTTCAACAGACCCCAGACTTGGCTGATCACCATGCCTCGCTGGGAAGTTTTTGGTTTTTTTTTAATACACATTTCCCTGGCTGTATTCCAAACCTACAGGAATAACCTGAGTATTTTTTAAAGGTACAACCTTTGGATATTTTCTAATATTGTTTGCTGCACAATAATAATCTAAACAACAAGAGGAGGAAAACTCTACTTTGTACCATCTCTTCCCCTCCCCCAAATAAATGACAATACTCTAAACTCCAGTGGGGATGGCGCTGGCAAAAGACCTGGGAATCCTCTCTGTGAAAATAAACTTTTAAGATATCAGGTTTTTTGTTTTGTTTTTGCTTCCATGATAACAGACCTAGAAATAGAGTATGGGGTTTTTCTTCTAACAAATTATTACAAAATATAAAACTTTTCATTCCTATCTTCAAGTTCAGGCTATTAAGTAGCTTACACATTCAACCCTGAGCTTTCACTTCAAAGACACTCTGAATTCCAGATCTTCAGAGGGTAGTTCATCAGCTAACGGTGGGAGGGGTGGGAGGGTGTGGCCCTTTAGGGGTGGTCAGAAGAAACCCCTCTGAGAACATTATCTGTGCTAAGATCTGAAGGATGAAGAGGCAGCCATGGGAAGAGCTGGAGGGAAATCTTTCTTAGGAGGAAAAGCAAGTGCAAAAGCAGAGACAGCAACCAAGTCTGAGGGACAGGAAGCCAGTGTGGCTGTGATGAGGGAGGAAGAACTGAGGAAGATGAACTGGCAAAGGCCAAGCAAGGAAGGAGTTTCATCTGGATGCAATGAAAAGCCAGTACAGGGTTTTAAGCAGAAATAATCAACCAACTTCCTGTTCATTTTTTGCTCAAGTCATGTTTGTATTTTATATATATACTAGAGGCCCGGTGCACAAAAATTTGTGCACTCGGGGGGCGGGGGAGGGGGGGGGTCCCCCAGCCCAGCCTGTGCCCTCTCGCAGTCTGGGACCCCTCGGGAGATAACGACCTGCTGGCTTAGGCCTGCTCCCGGGTGGCAGAGGGCAGGCCCAATCCCTAAGTGCAGCCCCTGGTCAGGCTCAGAGCAGGGCCGATTGGGGAGTTGGGGCGCCGCCCCCTGTCA